TGTGGTGCTTTTTGGATCAGATTTTATTTTGGGGCTATTTTTATTCTTAAATTTAACATTTTTCTTTTGGTCACCAAGGCTGTATTTATCTGTTCAAAAATACAGTAAAACAGTATTATTGTGAAATATTATTACAATTTAAAATAACTGTCTTCTGTCTTAAAATATTTTAAAATGTAATTTATTTCTGTGATGCAAAGCTGAATTTCTCAGTCCTCAGTGCCACATGATCTTTCAGAGATCATTCTAATATGCTGAAAATAGTGCTATTTAATATTTAGCGGAAACTTTTTTAAGGCTCTATGATGAACAAAAAGTTCAAAAGAACAACATTTTTATTTTAAATAGATTTTTTTGTAACATTATACATGTCTTTAGTGTCAATTGTTGGGCAATTTAATGTTCATTTCCATTACTTGAAATAAAATAAATGTTAAATGAAATAAAATAAAATAAAATATATATATTTTTTTATTTCTGCTATTTGCCATGGTACCATTTTTTTTCTTCATGCAATTTAACTTGTACTGAAATAACTAAACCTGAAATAATAAAAAAAATTATGCTAGGTTAAAAAAATATTATGCTATAAATGCTGGGTTAAAAACAACCCAACTTGGGTTATTTGGCAACCCAGCGCTGGGTAAATATTGGACAGAACACCTGCTGGGTTATTTTGACCCAGCTGGTTGGGGTATACGTTTTTACTAACCATGCAGAGTTGTTTTATTTAAGTCATCTATTGTTTAAAAATTATTATATTGCTGGCTTAAAATGGGCTGGAAATCACATTAAATTAATCACACACAGAATTACTATAGGCAACAGCAATAATCAAAAGATGAACATTTATTATTAACAAGAACACCCATGGACAAAATACAAGACAAATTGAATTTATTTGGGTGAATACAGCATAGTTTACACAATTACATACATTTAAACTCGTTTAACAAGCATTTTAAAAATAAAAAAGGCAAATTTAAAAGTAGCATTTTAATTTAAGTGTATTCAACCTGGCTTAAAATGGGCTGGAAATCACATTAAATTAATCACACACAGAATTACTATAGGCAACAGCAATAATCAAAAGATGAACATTTATTATTAACAAGAACACCCATGGACAAAATACAAGACAAATTGAATTTATTTGGGTGAATACAGCATAGTTTACACAATTACATACATTTAAACTCGTTTAACAAGCATTTTAAAAATAAAAAAGGCAAATTTAAAAGTAGCATTTTAATTTAAGTGTATTCAACCGTTCTCACTTTTTCACCGAAATAGTGCTAATAGATCTATTTATCCATCTATCTATCTATGAACATTACTTAAATTTTACAATTAAAATGAGAAATAAAAAAAATATATAAAATATTAATACAAATATAATAGTATGATACTCAATAGTACTTCAATATAAAAGACATCTGGCTGTTTGAAGGATTTAATTTGTGCACAAGTTTATTTGAAAGCAACTGGACTTTCTTTTCCTTTTGCTGAATATGTTTTTCCACTAGCTCCAGCAAATGGAAAGCAGAAAAATGAGAAGTCCAATTGTCTGTGCATAAATTCTAGCAAACATACGTCTGCTTAAGTCCAGTGATCTGTTTTGTGAGTGCCTTTCCCTGTTGTTCTGGAGTGCTTGGAGGAATGGGTGAATACAGCATAGTTTACACAATTACATACATTTAAACTCGTTTAACAAGCATTTTAAAAATAAAAAAGGCCAATTTAAAAGTAGCATTTTAATTTAAGTGTATTCAACCGTTCTCACTTTTTCACCGAAATAGTGCTAATAGATCTATTTATCCATCTATCTATCTATGAAAATGACAAAAACACACTACAAGAACATTACTTAAATTTTACAATTAAAATGAGAAATAAAAAAAATATATAAAATATTAATACAAATATAATAGTATGATACTCAATAGTACTTCAATATAAAAGACATCTGGCTGTTTGAAGGATTTCATTTGTGCACAAGTTTATTTGAAAGCAACTGGACTTTCTTTTCCTTTTGCTGAATATGTTTTTCCACTAGCTCCAGCAAATGGAAAGCAGAAAAATGAGAAGTCCAATTGTCTGTGCATAAATTCTAGCAAACATACGTCTGCTTAAGTCCAGTGATCTGTTTTGTGAGTGCCTTTCCCTGTTGTTCTGGAGTGCTTGGAGGAAATCTGACAAATGTGTGTGTGTGAGTCTGGACAGAAGCGTCCTGTGCCGGTCCAGCATCTCTCTGATGCTGCCACCATCTGTCAAGGCTGTTTCTGATTGGCTGGAGGTTCAGAGGGTAGGAGCTCATGGAATGAGAGGACACCGGGGCAGAATATCGACTCTGAGCTGTAGTGTGTGGAGCAAAAGAGTGGGATGCTCGTCCAGTCGTGAGTTTTATAGAAGAACAGGGATGAAGTAAAAAAAGTCAAAGGCCACAGTAATCGCTTTATTGCTCTCGCCTTGGCTGACAGGGCCAGAGCCGAACGTGTGACAGCTTTACAGCTCGATTTAAAACTTGATGAATCCACAGTGCCATCAATATCAAAGCCTGCACATGAGTTATACGTTTACAGTCTGAGGAGATAGACGGTCTGTAAGATACAATTCTGGGTAGAAATGTAGTTCAAATGTATTGTTTATGTTTGAGTAAAGCTGTGTTTGCTGCGAGGTCAAGCACCAAAGGTTCTTAGGTACATATTGTGTCTGTTTTTTTTTTTTTTTAATGTTTTTGGATGGAGTCCATGACAGCCCATAGAACCATATGATAAAAAATTTGAAAATTTGGCGCACTGACTGGGGAGGGTGTGAACTTCAATTTGACCGAATGATTTGACCCTGACGTTAATGTTGTCCCACGTACAGATCATTTACTGCCTGGTATTGTTTAAAAAAATCTCATAGGTTGGTATTATGAGCACTTGTGAAGAACAGTTTATACTGGGTTTGCCAAATTTTGATTGAAATACAGTACCATACCAGGGTTAGTACATTTAAGAAATGAATGTTTATTCAGTACACTCTTAAAAATAAAGGTGCTTCACGATGCCATAGAAGAACCTTTTTGTCTAAATGGTTCCATAAAGTACCTTTAACATCTGAAGAACCTTTCTGTTTCACAAAAGGTTCTTTGGGGAGAAAGAAGGGTCTTCAGATTATAAAAAGGTAAGAAAGAGATGGTTCTTTAAAGAACCTTTGACTGAATGGTTCTTTGTGGAACCAAAAATGGTACTTCTATGGCATCGCTTGAAGAACCTTTTGAAGCACCTTTATTTTTAAGAGTGTAAGGACGTGTTAGAATGAATCAAAAGTGACAGTGAAGACATTTAGAATATTTTTTATTTAAAATAAATGCTGTTCTTTTGAACTTTCTGTTCATCAAAGAATCCTAAAATATATTCTAAAAATATATAGTTTTTTAAACTTTTTTGACCTAAAGTCATTCGCTATTAATTAATATTCATACAATATACATCTTCAAAAAGTCATCCTACAGCTTTTTTCTCCTCCTAAATTTGATACAAAGCTGCTCAAATTATTAAATAGGGCTGCATAATAACAATGGTAATGCATAATGGTTAAAATGATAGTCAAGGTTATTTTGCTCAGAAATTAATCTTGGTTAATAATCATGATTTATAATTTCTATTTATGTTTCATCAGAATTATTTCACTTTCTTGTAAGCATAAATCTAGAAAATGTCAACTCACATGAGAGTTATATTTTTCCTCATCCTGGTTTACTGTATTTATGATACATTAACACACTCACATTATGCAAACTGGTAAAAGTTCTCTCAAATGCGAAAACAGTGTTAATTACAATTATTCCAAATTACATTGTTTTCATATTAAAACAACAAAAACGACTATTCAGATCATCAGTGTTGTTTTTGTTTGTTTGTTTTTTGCAGTGGAGAGAGTGTTTGTGAAAGGTTGCCAGGTTGAGAAAATAAACTCAAACACTCGCCAGAAATATCTGTTTAAAGGGTTAGTTCACCCAAAACTGAAAATTCTGTCATTAATTACTCACCCTCATGTCATTTCAAACCGTAAGACCTTCATTCATCTTCGGAACACAAATTAACATATTTTTGATGAAATCCACAAGCTTTCTGAGTCTGACCCTCCATAGACAGCAATGCAACTGAAACGTTTTATGGCCCATAAAGGTGGTAAGGACATATTTAAAATAGTTCATATGGCATCAGCGGTTCAACCGTAATGTTATGAAGCTACGATAATACTTTTTGTGTAAAAAAAACAACAAAAAAAAACACTTTATTCAATGTTTTCTTTTCTTCCGGGTCAATCTCCGCTGCTGTTCACGTGAGTACCACGATGCATTGCGTTGCTGTCTATGTAGGGTCAGAAAACTAGGATTTCATCCAAAAATATCATAATTTGTGTTCCGAAGATGAACAAAATTCTTACGGGTTTGGAACGACATGAGGGTGAGTAATTAATGACATAATTCTCATTTTTGGGTGAACTATCCCTTTAAGAGAAAAGCTCTGATTGCAGTATTTAGACATCTGGCAACTCAAAGCATGAAAGCTTGACAAATATAATTATATATATATATAAATAGCCAGCCAGCCAGCATCAGAAGTCGTGATCACGATTAAAGTGCAATTTAAAATATATTTGAAACCGCAATCCATTTTCCTGTAGTGCATTGATGAATTTCACTGTGAAAATGCCAGACATGAAGTTACGTTGTTATCGTAATGTGGCAAAGCTTTTGCTTAATCAAATTAAACTTCCATTTATCCATTATGGAAGACAATTTTGTTCAAAGTGACTTATGAGGTATAGATTCTTTAATCTCTGTGGATGAATGTTTGGTACTACTTACTGGTCAAATGTTGTAAATTCAGGTTAAATCTGCTTCTAGACTTTGAACTAGCTGGAATAACAGCGTAGTTTTGTCTTGCATTTTTATTATTGGCATGCAGTTCCTTACCCTTTCTCCTCTCCTCCTCCTGTCCCAGATGCGAGGTATGCTGTCCCCCCCTCCTACCGACACCAGCCCTCCTTCGCTGCTGCTCCCTCCTGCGAGCAACCCGACTGGAATCCTCGTCTGTGTGTGATCAGTGGAAATCAGCTCTACATGTTGGACCAGGAGGAGGTACTGGCAGCCCAATCACACATAATCAAGCACTTCCTTTCCAACATGTTCCTTTCTACAGTTTGTGTGCTGGGTGCTCATTTTACCGCCAGTTTACATGAGGGTCTTTATTTCAGACTTTCCATTGCTCCAAACATATTTTGTTTCTCTATATTCTTTAGTTGATTTGCATCAGCAGTCGGGGAGTGTTGTAACTCGTTAAGTATTATGTTGGTGTGCATATGAGTCTTGGGCATTATTAGCAGTGAATTATCTGTAGTCTGATTAGACTGATAGATAATATCAGGTTTTATGTTTTCCATTTTAGACTGTTAATTTTTCTATGGCAGGTTACAAAAGTATATCAGATAATAGAAAAAAGATCTGCACACTGTTATTCTCCCTTTATTCAAAAAAGTTAAAAATAGCAACGTTCCGGTCAAACACCTTCGTCAGGCAAACACGCTGGTTACAAAAGTATGGAATGGTTTTGATGTTATGATGTCTGATTTCACCCAAAGCCTGTAAAACTGTAGATTTGAGTTTTTTAATGATAAATAACATTCCTGATATCTAGAGAGCATTATAGAAAATGAATTATTATTATAACAATTGCTATAATTGTTAAATACCTAATATAACAACAATATACAGAACAACGGCAACAATATATCTCATCAATAAATATTTTGTAATATATTTTTAGTAATAATAATTTTAATGTATATTATTAAAATTTAGTTTTTATATATAAACTCATATACACATAAATAATACATTCTTAATTAGCTATATATTGTTTATATAACAATGTTTATATAAGCAACATATAGAAAAACGGCAACAAAAAATAAAAAATGTAAATCCCTGATAAATAATTTATTAGTAGTAGTAGTGGTAGTATTAATAGTAATAATAATATTATCATTATTATTATTAGAATAATTTAATATTAATAATTTTATTGATTTTGAGTAGTTAATGTTTAACTTCAGCAATTTTGTGTTCATCTCATTTTCATATAAAAACAATTTTAAATTTTTAATAACTTACAGTTTTAATTTATTTAATAAATAGATACATTAATTAATTAATCAATTAGTTAAGTCTTCTAATAAGTTCATGATTAATTATTAATAAATCAATGTTTTTAAATAAATAATTGTATTAATAACTGTATATTTAGTGTATGTATATATATATATATATATATATATATATATATATATATATATATATATATATATATATATATATATATATATAT